TCATCCGCTAGACGGCACTTGGGGCCAGCGTGTACCGGTCCTTGATTTCAGCTTCTATAAACTTCGGGTCACAGTTCGGTAGGCCCCTGATGACCTTTAATGGTTTCTCATCGGGAATGTCACCTTCAGGTAGGTGACGACCAAGTCATACTCCACTTTCGTACGGAGCACCACGTTGGTACCGACTCTGCCCAACTTGAATTCGGCCTTAACGGCCAGCGACGCCAGATCCACGATTAGCTTGTTAAGATGGGCATTTTCCACTACCAATGGAGGTAGCTTCACACGACGTTAGGCATACGGTCGTTAGGCATACGGTCGTTAGGCATACGGACGTTAGGCATAATGTACGATAGGCATAAAGGATGTTAGGCATAATGGACGTTAGGCATAATCTACCCGATGAATCTCAGAAGGATGATAATGGGAACCGTCTATTGATTGCTGACTTCGGTGACAATAATGAAAGAGCCTTAATTTTTGGAACTCATGAAAACTTGCGACGTCTTGGACAGGCAAAGTATTGGGTTACACAGATAGTACGTTTGCCACAGTTCCTTGTTTGTTTCGGAAACTCGTCACTGTTCATGGAAGTATCGCTCCCTCACATCAGCAGACGGTTCCGCTAGTTTTCATTCTGATGACAACAAAAGCAGAATCGTTGTATCAAAAAGTATAGCAGCAGCTGGTATGTTTTTTTTAGTTATTGAATGAAAAACCACAGAATTCACCATTCTTCATTTGATGAGCTGTTCTTTTGCATCATATTTTATTCAACCTTAGCTGTTTTTTGTTATTGAATGAAAAATCACAGAATTCACCATTCTTTATTTCATGAGCTGTTCTTTGAGGAAAATCTTTTCTTCTTTGACAATTGTAATATGTGTGTAAGAATATATTACATCAAATGTGTGATTTTTTTTATTTCTAGATGCGATTGATTTCAAGTTATAGTTCAAAACTATGCTGAGTTTTCATTGCCAGATTACTTAACCGCTATCGCTACTAATGTTGGATCTAAGTAAATATGTAGCTACGTCACTTATGATATGATCAATAATGGATTCCAAACTGTGCTTAGTAAAGAAACCTAGACTAACATTTGAAAGGGGCGGATGAGCCAAAATGTAAACAAACCATATTTTGCCACATATAAAGAGAATAGTTCACAAACTACTCGATAAACACGAAAAAGTAGAAGAAAATATCACTTCAAATCATCAAAAACGTTTCTTCTTACATGGCGTATTTCCAACTTTCAACTCTAAGATGCATCTGGTTGTTACGCCTTGGACTAGAACTACGAATTATATCGTTTTAATATGCCAAACGTATTGAGTCTGTAGTATCTAGTCACGCCCGATTGATAGTTCACGTGTAAACAACGAACAAAAAGAAGACCAAAAAAATCTCCGGGCGTAATTCCACTCTAACAAAATTTGCGAACGAAGAACCAAGGCGGAACAACAAATAAAAAATCCCGAGGGTGTACTTCCACGGCGTATCACCAGTGTTGGCAGTTCAAATTGTGGAAGATCCAGGGGGTAACAACATGTATGAAATTATCAGAGCGTATGATGTTTTCTTCTCGATTTCACGACAAAGAAAACTTTTTTGAGTTTTTAGTGATGCATGATGATAGATTACACTATTAACTATATGTCAAGCTTATAAAATCATCCAGAAAATGGAAAGTCGTGAAATGGGATTAATTTTTAGGTCATCAAAATTCAGAAGCGATTTTCTCGATATGGTCATTTTGGAATTACGCCCTTTTCAAATGTTAGTATAGAAACTATGTTTGTTTAACTTGTATGATTTTTTATTCAACGCTTAGCCTAATTTAAGCATTGTTTACCATGCTCGAAACAGGTTCCTAGAGTTGCACAGCAGCAAGGTATTTTATGCCTAACGTCCATTATGCCTAACGTATATTATGCCTAACGTCCATTATGCCTAATGACTTTATGCCTAACGTCCATTATGCCTAGCGTCCGTATGCCTAACGTCCGTATGCCTAACGTATTTATGCCTAATGGGGTACACTCGCTTCACGCACCCATGTTGGCAGCATTGTTATTTTTGGCAGCGTCACCTAAATCTCCGATATCGGTGACGTTCTTCGCGACCAATCGTGCCATCGAACTGGCCCCGATTGTGCAGGGAACTTTCCTGTGATGATGTAGGATTAGGTGTGAAAGCTTCTCCTTGTGCGGTGAGTTAGGGTAGGGTCGGTAATGTCAGTTTGCTGATTCTGACATCTAGTAAGTCGGACGCTACTGTGTTACCTGACACAGGTCTGATAACAAATATACGTTGAATACGAGTACCCCGAATACAACGTATAGTTTGTCTAATTTTACATTGCAAATGCTATGCAAAATTAGACGAGTCATACGTTGTATTCGGGGTACTCGTATACAACGTATATTCGTTATAAGTCAGGTAACACAGTAGGAAAGTTGAGGTGAGTTGGATCGTTCTGCAAACCGTTCGTCAGGGCCTTCATATGGCCTTTCTTCGGCGAGTCTCATCCCGGGGAATCCATGATCTAAGCGGGTGGCCCTCTAACGACGTGGCGCTTAAGCTACTCCCTTACAGTGAACGATCGAGCTTACCCAACCGTTGTTCTTTGGGGACTTTAATGAGTTTTTTTTAATCGCCTCGGCAATCCTTGGAAGGCTATACCATGCGGCTACAGAGTATTTTCTGGACATTTGTCAAAGTCATCAATCGGATGTCAGTTCCCATAAGATTAAATCTAACATACCATGTATTTTTAAGGCAAAGTCGGTCGCGGCATCAAAGTGGTCTGATTTTGATCCAAAGATGATGGATTTTAATTCTTAATACGCCAATCGATAGAAAATCTTTTCTACGAATCTGTTAAAATTAACACATTATCAAATTTCAAAAGTTCACTTTTGAAAATTGCACGAAAGTGGAACTGTTGCTATGATACTTAAAATTATCACCGATTGCCTGCGAAAAGTACTTTCCCTAACACAGATTTCAAAATCGTATCCCATCCGGTATCGCCGAACGGTGTACATTCAATCACCGTGTGTGGTGAGTGGTAGTGTCCAGCAGTAGCAGTGCTTTCTGCGTGTAGTGTTGTACATTTTTCTCCAATACACAACGAAAGGCTCCCCGCAAGCAGCTAGCTATCAAGGCTGTCCTCAAGACCCCTCGATTCAGCGAAGAAGGAGGAAGAAGCCGCACCGCTACTGATCGGATTCAGTTACTCTTCGGAAGCCGCTGTGGGCCATCTATGCCAAGCGCGTCACCTTCGTTCCATATAACATACAGCTTGCTAGCCTCATCAGTGTTGAACACCCTAATAGCTCAGCATTATTCAACTATCACGACAAAACGGATCTTTTCAGGACCACCATAAATTATTGTTGTTTAAGAGTTAATTTTCATTGAACGTTCGCTCGTCTTCCTGCCAGCCACATCACCCCCAAAGCTCTTTGATAATGTAGCCATCAACCAAACATCTGAGGTCAAACGCGTAACAGTATTGAAGTGGTACATACAAATTATCGCAATGACCGAATATCACATCACATCACTTGTCAATTAACCAGAAACACTTCGAATTAAGGTAAGGTCATAGAGGTAACTCTAAGACTAGAAGGTCCCGGAATAACGTGCTCAAATTTTTGGCTCAGCTCTGGTACTATCTTCGGTCCCAAGCTAATCGATTCGCCCCTCGAAACATAGGAAAAACCAATAACCCCTTATTTTATCTGTCAAACTTTCATAGCAAATCAAAACAAACATTGCGTAGTACTAGAATTTCGACTAGAATGGGGTACGTTAATTGTTTGCTTGGGACCAATAGGCTAGTCAAGTAGTGAGCCAATTTAAAATCGTTAGTTTCGTATTGATTGTTGGTAAGGTTTTCTCCAGCCTGCTAGACAAAAAAAGTAAAAAAATCTCATTTGTTCGATCGCGAATATCCCACGTTTGGAAAATTCTAACAAAAAATTCCTCCAATCAATTTTTGCTGTTTGTATTATCTATTAAATAAACCAAAAATTCCGTGCATTTTGTGCACGAAAATGCGTAATTTTATCATCAGAAAACGAGGTTTCCCTAACACAGTCGCCGAATATTGATACCGAGTACGTAATCCTACGTCAAATCTACGGTCGTGTCTTGTCCAACTTACAATTTTCGCAATGTAAACCCTTTACTCATTTCATTTATACAGCCTCAAACTGTATTCAGATGTTGTACGATATGAGGAAACCTTTACTCAGCCTCCTCTATACAAGCAAATCTGGCAAACTTAGTCAGCTACTGATTGCTGTTGGGACCGGTTGTGGCAAGCTCTTATTGTATATCCATTTACGCTTCTATACAGCTGTTATCCTGCTGTTTAGTTGTGTGTGAACTTTAAAGGCACTTATTCAACCTTTTCCCGGTTATCCAATAATCACTACACAGCTTTCTCTTGAAGCCTGGTTAAATATTGTTCAAGTTTTTTTTGTTGCAGGACTTTATTAAGTTCATTTTACTGGGAATCAATCTACAAGTTTCTTAAAAATAAAACTCACGAATATAATCAGCTTTAAAAAATAACTCATGCTACTCTTTTCATTAAATAAGCAGCGTAAGAAATTAGGAAATCCTCCATAAAATCTTAAACAATTCTGAATTTCACTTAAAACCTCCATACAAATGCTGCAGATTAATTTGAATTTCCTTCTCCATGAAACTTGTCCGTACAATCTTTGAAATTCTAATATTGCAGACAACTTCACATAAAAACCCCATCAATAGCAAACTCCCTCCATCACCTGTAGACGCCAGCACCGTCGCCAATTTCGCTCAATCACCGATTCTCTCTCACATCAATTCTCCCAATTCTCGCTGAAGCTCCAGTGTACCCCCGCGCGCAACCCGAGACCCGAGCCGAACCCATTGTTATTCTCCCGTTCGGTTTCGGCATATCGAACCAAAACCATCATCGCCTCAGTCGAGAAGGTACAGTTAATGGATTCGGTCCTACCCATTGGCTCGTGTGAAATCGCGGTTCGCGTTAATTCAGTCTCATTAAGGCAAATTAGAGGCAGCAGCAAGCAAAAGAGGAATAATCAATTGAAATCAGTACAATCATCTGCTGCTTCTGGTGTGGAAAAATCAAAGTTTGTGGAAACGACGACGCGTACACGACGGTTGGTCGGAAAAGTGATAAAAGTGCATTTTGGATTCGCTGACCGCAAGAAAAAGAGGTGAAGAATTGTGCCAAAAAAATATGCTAGCACTCCGAGCAAAGGTGAAATACTTTCTCGGGCTGGTTCCATGAATGAAAACCAGTATTCGGAACAGAAAAAAAATTGTGTGATACCTTCGTGTGTTCTTCTCTCTCTCTGCAGTAAGCATTTTGAATTGTGTTTCCTTTTCTCGCTCTCTTTCTCTCGCTCACCTTTTGTTCGTATCCTTCCCAGTCCGGCTGGACTCTTCTTCGTAACTTTGTAATATTTTTTACTGTGTTTTGTTATTCCCGTCGTCGTGCTGGGATCGGGTGTGAGAAGGAGTTTTTTTTTTCTTATTTCAATGTGTGGCAACTTTATCTCTTTCCGATAAATGGTTAGTTCACACGATGATTTTTTTTATGGTTACTGTCGTTTGATCTCTCCTGGAGGTTTGGTGTGTGAACGAAAGGCGAACGGAGAGAAGCGCGTGACATTGCTGCGCTGGATCCGTGTGCCGTGTGAGAGCGAACAAGACGAGTTATAACAATGCAAGCCGGCGTGTGTTGGTGCACTCAAATTTCAATGTGTGACGTTCGACACAACAGTGTCTTATTTTTTAATTAGACGAGGTGAAGTGAAAAGAAAACTCAGGTATTAAAATTTTAGTGAGCATTAGAGAAAAAAAAACATAGTTTGTTCGGAAGGATGGATACAAGAACCAGTTGGATCAAAAATTGTGAATTCAAACGGGTGTTGGTGTGCGCAAAATCGACGTAAGGAGCACACAGAAAATGCAAGAAGAACGCGAGAGTGCGCGAAATGTCTCCTTCTTCGGGATTCCTTTCGTGTAATCTTCGGCAGTATGTGCTTGCACGCTCTCTCTCTCTATCTCTCTCTTTCTCTGTCCGAGATCTGATTGTATCAACATAGGTACATAGCATAGCGGTGAAGTAGCTGAGGTGATGTTGGTGGTGGTCGTCGTTTCCATAGAATATAAAAGGATTGCTTTTACCGCTATAAGTCGCGTCTCGCGAAAGTTTGCATAATGAAGCGAATCAAGAAGAGGAGCACACTCCTACAACAACGGAGCCAGCACATGAGCGAGATGGATGCAAATCGAGAATAGGATGGCAACATTAAAAATGGCTCGAGTGATTCACGAACAGAAGCCGCAATATGGATATACAGGATGCAAATTTCGCTGCTGGAAAGGATTATAAGATTGGTTGGAATAATATGTTGCAACGTTTTCTTTTTTAAAAAAAGAGACATTATACCCTAAAATATTACCACGTTTGATGATTTGTAAATTATTGGACAAACTCTGAAAATATATTGAGCCATATCTACGTAACTAGTTGTCCGATCTGGATAGCATTTATCAGTGTTCAGGGCAGTGAAATCGAAAATTATTTACATCAACCATGTGCGAAAAAAGAAGTGTGATCGTTCATTGCCTCAATGAACAAAAAAATATTGATTGAAGTGGGTAACTCAACCACCTCCAATTAGTAACCATTGAAAGAAAATAGGCAATCAAAGTTGTTTCACTACCGTTGAACCCCGTTGATTTTAATATGCAAATAAATGGTGTTCATTTTTAATTTGATTAACTGGTGCCTCTGCCTACACCCCTGCTTGAAGAGTTTTGTCATTTCCATTGAAAGATTTCAGGGGATTTCGACAAAAATATTTTTGTCATTATCAGTGAAAGAATTAGCTCTCACACAAACCTTTGTCGAAATCTGATTCATTTTTCGTCAATGGCAGAGATTGACTTCGCTTATAAACAAATACCATAAACAAACTGTATCCCTGATGGGTAAACTATCCCACAAATGGTTTGGATGATACTCCTAACACGTCGTTAAGCTCTCCTTTGTAGTTATTTTTATTAGGGTTGGTTCCAAAAAGGTGTAATTTGGTGCATTCTTATTCACGATATTGTTATTTATGTAGTTGATAACGGTTCCATGGATTAATTTTGCTTCAGACATATCATTTGTTAGAGATTCAACTGCAAATAAAACTGACTGTATTTTATTCAGCGTAAATATTTACGTTTTTTCAACAAAACTCAGACAATCATGACAGATCCTTACGCAGGTAAGAGATTTGTCACTGATGTAAATATTTACACGTCCTGCATTGAAGAATTGCAACTGACAAATGACATGGCATCCTTTGAAGATAATTTTCATTTCGTGCTAGTGACGAAAGCTGCTTTGTCAATATCGTCGAATACGGTTGATATTTTGCAGCACTGCCCTACATATAACGCCATTGAGCACCTGTGTAGGGGTAACACTTTAACAACTTCTGATTAAGTGTCGTTTAATTGCAATTTTAGCTATTAAAACTAGCAGGGCTTTACGGCACCATGACTTCGATGTCTGTGTTAGAGAAGTTTGTTTCAAGCAATACTCCTTTTCCGCACAATGATACTAAGATAAGTGCGCTAGTTTTGGCACAAAAAGGAGGACCACTTATTTTAGGAATTTAAATTCTCAGTTTCCGGTTTGATATAAACTGCTAAGCCACAGAAGTAACTACTGAAAACTGTATAACCATAGAAGTAACTCTAAGACCAGAAGGTTCTGAAAAAACGTGTTCAACTTTTTGACTCAGCTCTGGTACTATCTTCGGTCCCAAGCTAATCGATACACCCCACGAACCCCTCATTTTATCTGTCAAACTTTCATAGCGAATCAAAACCAATATTGTGTAATACTAGAATTTTGACTGGAATGGGGTACGCTTATAGATGTACTTGGGATCAATAGACTAGTCAAGTAATGGGCTAATTTAAAAAATATGGAAATATGGAATGACATTTGATTTTTGCAATAGATGTCGTTAGTAAGACAATGTTTTGAAACAAAATAATATTTAAATTTTTTGATGATTTAATATGGTTTTAGAATAGTAATACATTGTTAAAGTTTCATAGTTAAGATCAAGGTTGCAAAGACTCATTTCAGCTAAAACAATGTTTTTCTAAATTATGAAATAATTAGATGCCATGATCAAATTTTGAATTGGTAGGATACAAGAAGAGGTTGCAAAGAATGTGTTTGACATATTAAACCTGTTTATTTCACTTCATGAGAGTCACAATCAGCGATTTTTCACAAACTCACTCACTCACTCACTCACTCACTCAGCGATCAGCAAATCGCTGATTGTGACTCATAGAAAGCAAAATTTACAGGTTTTATGTTTCCAACGCATACTTTGTAACCTCTTCTTGTAATTTACAAGTAAAACATGCCATCATACCATCTTTTGGTTTTATTATTCCGAAAAACATTATTTTAGCTGAAATGAGTCTTTGCAACCTTGGTTAAGATAAACTTTTGAAGTCCAAAAGGCACTACGACCAATGTTGGATAGCGATAGATTGAACTTAGAACTTGAAATTCTTTCAGAAAACAATAAAATCCTGGGAATAACAATTGAGATGTCGAACTAAAATAGTTTTAGAAAGTTATGAACTAAGAAAGTGTTCATCATGCTGGGACACAATAAAATTTGATGCAAGATGCTTGAACATAAGAAGAACTCAGTGGTTCACATAAAGAATTTTCTCAAAGATTGCGCTGTTTCCTTGGTAGTCATCGTAGAAATTCAGAATGGAAGAAGAGAGCAGTTCCACACCAAATGACGAATCGAATCGGAAAAACTCCGGTTACCATGAAACTTTGCATAATTGTGTGTTATGCCCAACTAACATTTTCAGCTTTGTAAGGCAACTTTTGCATTGTTGTGCTGTAAATCAGCTGAAAAAAAGCTGCAGATACAGCTACAAGCAGAAGCTAGCAAAATTGTTTTGAAGAGCGTTTACTCGACTTTTTCAAAACCATTATTCAATTTGCCTGTCTCACTGAATAACAACAGCCAATAAACGCTAATGTCACTTTAATACACATCCTAATCAACTTTCAGCTTGTAGCTGCAAAACAAAGCTAATAAAGTGAATATAGTACTCATTTCTCGATTACTTTTTCGAAGGGACGTATCAGCTTTTGTAAACAATGCAGTCGATCGTCGATTTGGCGTAACTGGTAACTTGCAAACGCATACTAACACCACTATCAGGTATAGGAAAATTTCCCCTATCTGATGACAGAATTAACATGCGTGGGCGAGCTACCAGTTACGCCAAATCGACGATCAAATTCATTGCTTACAAAAGCTGATACGTCCCTTCGAAAAAGTAATCGAGATTTGATGGCTTTTACACAACCAACTCTTGTTGAATAACATAAACATCAAAAGTGTTTTTTCAACAACTAAACAACCTAATAAACTATGTTAGCGCTACTTTATTTTTAGACGTGTGCAGTTTTACAGCTTTTACTCTGCTCCTTTACAAAGGTGAAGTAACTAGAAAAGTGAGTAATGTGCACTATTATAAAGGGCCTTATTACGGGTGTCACTATACGGTGATAAGCAAGTGATACTCAGAATAAGAACCGTGATTACCGTACAAATCAAATGGGAATCACTTCACCGTGACGAAAAGTGACAAGTTTTCACCGTGAAGTGACATCCGTAATAAGCCCCAAAGCCTCAACTCAGCGATTTTGTTGAAGAAGGGCATGTTGATTTTTTTTTACATCACCCAGGTAACAATTTGATTGATTAGATTGAATAATTGCTGTACATAGACCACGTTAACCTTTGTCCAGCTTTTAAACATCTAAATCTGGTGATTTTAATCAGCCAAAAGCTTAACAGTAATAGACATTATAAGCTTTTTAAGGCATTAAATAACAGTCTTTTCCAACCCTTGTTCAGCCTTCTAGTTTTATTTCAAAAATAATAACAGAAGACCGCTTCATATCTTATGCATTTATATTGGAACTGCTTCAACTTGTTCCTGACTAATTGGATTAACATATTTATAATGTTAATATATTTCTAAAAATTACCTTTGCATTTCGGGATTCGAACCAGCAGTCACTGATTCATAGGCGTCAACCATACCTACTGAACCATTTAGACATATGTGTGGTAAAAGGTATGATCATTAACTTGAAGCACGTCAAATTTAAGTTGAATAACAGCACCCGGAACAGTATTATACAGCAATGCAGGATTGTAAGCAACAACTGGTGACAGTTAAACATTCCTCTCATTTTCAAGTGCACATAACACAATGTGAACATAAGCACGC